TGGCAACAATTGCCTTATATTTCATTAATGGCAGCAGTGGGGCGAAAACAAAAAATGGCAATTATTGCCTTATATGTGATTAATGGCAGAAGAGGGACGAAAACAAAAAATGGCAACAATTGCCTTAAATGTGGTTAATGGCAGTAGTGGGGTGAAAACAAAAAATGGCAACAATTGCCTTATATGCGATTAACGGTGGCAGAGGGACGAAAACAAAAAATGGCAACAATTGCCTTATATGTGATTAATGGCAGCAGTGGGCGAAAACAAAAAATGGCAACAATTGCCTTATATGTGATTAATGGCAGCAGAGGGGCGAAAACAAAAAATGGCAACAATTGCCTTATATGTGATTAATGGCAGCGAAAATAAAAAATGGCAACAATTGCCTTATATGGGGCAGCAAAACAAAAAATGGCAACAATTGCCTTATATGCATTAACGGCAGCAGAGGGACGAAAACAAAAACTGGCAACAATTGCCTTATATGTGATTAATGGCAGCAGAGGGGCGAAAACAAAAAATGGCAACAATTGCCTTATATGTGATTAATGGCAGCAGAGGGGCGAAAACAAAAAATGGCAACAATTGCCTTATATGTGATTAATGGCAGCAAAGGGGCGAAAACAAAAAATGGCAACAATTGCCTTATATGTGATTAATGGCAGCAAAGGGGCGACAATAAAAAATGGCAACAATTGCCTTATATGTGCTTAATGGCAGCAGAGGGGCGAAAACAAAAAATGGCAACAATTGCCTTATATGTGATTAATGGCAGCAGAGGGGCGAAAACAAAAAATGGCAACAATTGCCTTATATGTGATTAATGGCAGAAGAGGAACGAAAACAAAAAATGGCAACCATTGCCTTATATGTGATTAATGGCAGCAGAGGGGCGAAAACAAAAAATGGCAACAATTGCCTTATATGTGATTAATGGCAGTAGCGGGGCGAAAACAAAAAATGGCAACAATTGCCTTATATGTGATTAATGGCAGGAGAGCGGCGACAATAAAAAATGGCAACAATTACCTTATATGTCATTAATGGCAGCAGTGGGGCGAAAGCAAAAAATGGCAACAATTGCCTTATATGCGATTAACGGTGGCAGAGGGACGAAAACAAAAAATGGCAACAATTGCCTTATATGTGATTAATGGCAGCAGAGGGGCGAAAACAAAAAATGTCATTAATGGCAGCAGGGGCGAAAACAAAATGGCAACAATTGCCTTATATGTGATTAATGGCAGCAGAGTGGCGAAAACAAAAATGGCAAACAATTGGCCTTATATGTGATTAATGGCAGCAGTGGGGCGAAAAAAAAATGGCAACAATTGCCTTATATGTGATTAATGGCAGCAAAGGGGCGACAATAAAAAATGGCAACAATTGCCTTAAATGTGATGGCAGCAGAGGGGCAAAAACAAAAAATGGCAATTGGCAGCAGAGGGGTGATTAATGGCAGCAACAGGAAAATGGCAACAATTGCCTTATATGTGATTAATGGCAGCAAAGGGGCGACAATAAAAAATGGCAACAATTGCCTTAAATGTGATTAATGGCAGGAGAGGGGCGACAATAAAAAATGGCAACAATTGCCTTATATGTCATTAATGGCAGCAGAGTGGCGAAAACAAAAAAAGGCAACAAAGAGTTAAAGGTGGGACTAGCAAATATACATAAAGCAGGAGAATAGTATAACTACTTTTAATATTTTCAAACTAAATTAATTTATGACACACACACACACACCAATATGTAGGGTTATATAAGTTAACAAACAGCTGCTTTCAAGACTACTGTACTGAAAATAAGACAAAGGTTCCACATGACACTGACATTTCTAGTTGTCACAGTTGTAACTCAATTTTGTTTACTAGATCTTAATTATAATGTTTATATTTAAGACAATTCCCGTGAACAATTGTTACTACCAGGCATGACACCGTGTGAGCTGAAGTACAGCTGATTCACTGAATAAAATAACTTTACCTGTCACCAATTTCTGAGCTAATATATATTGTAATTTCCATTAATACGGAAAATACGACTCTAAACACCTTGGCCTGAATGTTGAAAATATTCTATTAGGATACACACAGGATCAATACTTGCTTAAGGTATTCTTGTCCTGCCTTGTTAAGCAACATTCTTAAATCATGCAACCGACTGCTCATAAACTTGTAAATTGATTATCCTACTGATTGATTATACATTAACTCTATGTACAAAAACACATGCAATACCACAAAAGTTGCAGCTTCTGCGACACCAGCTGTTAGTCGAAATGATCGATAGGTGAACTTTAGATACAAACTCTTAGATAACACTTTAATAATCATTATCAAGTTGTATGCATTAAATCTAAGTGGGCTGACATCCCGTTAGTCATTATATACAGTATACACCATGACAGACTCAAGAGTTTCACGAATATAAAATCTATGTTACTTCTCAAAAGCAGAAAATATGAAATACTTGACATATATTCGTTTTGCTCTGACCATTAGGTAATGCATATAAAATGGATAATAAAAAAATACCACTCACCACATTTTCCAGCAATGTTCTTGTTCATAATTACCAATGTTCTCCGACACAATGTTCTTCGAGTGCAGAAGTCAGTTCTTATACTATACAACAACTTTTGAAGATCAAGAGCCCAGATTATTATTGTGACACTGGACACTAATCTGAAAAGAAGACGTTCTGGTGAGTGGAAATAATAATAATAATAATAGCTCTATTTTTTTTTAATATTATTTTCGCCACATATCAGCTTGCTAGTCGCTTGGGCGGTCTATCCAATGCTAATTAGTACAGGAGGAAACCCGGGACCTGGAAACCTGCGATGTTTAGTAGGGTCACACTGGATAACGTGTTACTATATGCTACACCAACACAATGTGAGCATAGTGAAAAATGAAGGGAGTTCCCCAAAAGAAGATTTATTGCATCTCATGAATTATTTCAGGAAAAAAATTACGCCAATGCAACTAAACTGAAAATTATATTAATTTAAATACCGATAAGCGCATCATTCTTTTCATATAATACAAAATACCAGTATGATATCTATCTTGTTACACAGTCAGTTATGTCAAGGTAAGTACACTATATTGGTAGATTTGCATTTTCAACCAAGATGGTTTTCGAGTTGAGCAATGTGTTTTTCCGATTATTTAGACAATTTTAAGACACTTTTCTTCTATGACGTTTCCCTCGCAAATAACTTAAATAACGGAGGATCCAGGCGGTTAGGAGGTTAGGTTAGGTTAGGTAATTTTAGGTCATTTCCGTGGGAAACGTCATAGAAGAAAGGTGTCTTAAAATTGTCTAAAAATCGGAAAAACACACTGATCAACTCGAAAGCCATATTAGTTGAAAATGCAAATTTACCGCTGTTATTCGGGAGTCACCATTATTAACCCGTCTGTTAGAAATCGTGTAATATCTGCCAGAAAACACGAATGTATAAAGTCCCCCCCCCCAAAAAAAATACAATAGATATGGTAACATTAATACCAATAATTAAATGCCTCCACGAACTGATTTTCAAATTGTAGTCTAGTACATACCAAACTTCAAGTGCACTGTTTTAATCGAGACTAATAACAAACTTGTCCTACTTAACCAACGCAGCATTTGCTTACCATATTGCGATTTTTTTTTTCATCGTGAAGGAAAACAGGCAGCAGTATATACATACTTGCATCACACTTTATCAAAGCATTCTATGGTAGTAGTGACAATAATTTGAGGGGTTCCATCCCAAGATAATAGAAGTACCACTCCATCTTTTGAACTTCAGGATTTTCACTAAAACGTTTGGTTTACGATATATTTTCTTGCTCCCCCATCACATTTGTATTCTATACATTAGATAAAATACAACAGTCTCTTGGCCGCGCCATGTTTGACAGTGAGGCCCAAACATGCTTTGCTGATTAATGAAGCTCACAAAAGTTTACTTCACTGTAATCATTGCCATAAATTCATCCTCAAACGCATAAGTGTAACCTTCAATACAAAAACATACATTTGGCATCATATGAAAGATGAATGAACGCGTTTCACTGATCAATTCTTAGATATTTTACCGTCAACAAAGTCGGAAGCGTCACTGACCCAATTCTGTGGTTAATTCAATTTAAATTTCAATATTTTATTCCTTGATATAGGAACCGGGATCCTAGTGCTGTCACTAGGTACCCCTGTACAATAACACCAAAAGCATCTGGCAAGTGTCACAAGTATATATAAATATCATAAAGGGGCTTACTAAAGCCTAAGGAAGGAAGGATATTCCTTCAACACATCATCAATATTATTTACATAATATCTGGCCAGTATGGGGAGGATCATCGTGTCTCCGACAGGGAGTCGTGGAGTGGTGGACCAGCAGGCGTCACGGAAGCGTTGTGTGTGTGGGGACAACTTAGGAGGTAGTGGACAAGTGTGCGGCTGTCGGGTGTTCTGCATAATGCACAAGCGCGCTGCTCATGGGGGACGGGGATACCAATCTCCCAAGCAGTCATACCCGATGATGATACGGGCAGCAATCACGTCCCTTTTCCGCGACACTTTCCCATAGACGTACGAGAGGTCAGGGAGTTTACGGAGGTAAACTTTATAAATCTGATGCTTTCGTATATGAATATTAAATCACGGTAAAATACTCGTTAATACTCCAAGTGATCATCACCGAAATGACCACTGACCACTTTTGAATGCTAGAGAGCGTTTAACATTGAGTTTGAACTTATATGTAATGATGAAAGTAAAGGTTTTTACATTAATCGCTCTCTCTCTCTCTCTCTTATTACTATTGGATGGGAGTGAATTAACCCACTGGATATTGAATGCTAAGTAACGGGATCAAGACATGTCAGACCACTTTACATCATAATTAGAAAATTTACGAACATTATTACTGTATATGTAATGAGTGAGTGTAAAGCAGGTACTGTATAGTTTATCAGAAATTAAATCAAGGAAGGTGACGGGGAGAATAAAAGGTTTTATTGCATATAGAATGGTGGATGTGAAAAGTTTCAGATAGCTGGTAGGTGATGTATCAGCAATGGAACTATGAGTGAAAAGGAAAAAAAACGAAATAAAAGACTTAAAGCAGGGTATAAGTCAGAGATGAATGGAAGGTGGAAGATAGAAGATGGAAGGATGGGGTTAAGGAGACACTAGAAGTGACGAAAAAGGTGGCTTATAGCAGCGTGCGTGAATGAGCAGTGCGAGGCGTTGACTGAATTAAAGGAAGCACGCGTCTGGTGATAGTGACCAGGATAAGTTAGATTTGGAGCCTTGATGTAGTTTGGAATTACAATAACAAAATACATCTTTTACAGTTTTAAGGCTGAAGAAGCGGCAACGAAAGGAGGAAAATGTATCGTTCCTCTTGGTTCCGGCCCCTGCATAGATGGATAGATAGCGTGTTCTGCAAATGCAGATTAATTTTCAAATGATGCCATGATATTTCTCAATTACTGTACTTACACTAATTACCTGGATGAATAAGAAACCATTCTAAATATTGTTTTACTAGTTTTCATTTTTTCTCGCTTTGATAAAAATGGCATATATATATACAGTATATATATATATATATATATATATATATATATATATATATATATATATATATATATATATATATATATATATATATATATATATATATATATATGTGTGTGTGTGTGTGTGTGTGTATGTGTGTGTGTAAAATATAATATTGCTTCAAGCATAATGGATACAGTGCAAGTAAGAATATGTTTTGAAGCACAAGCCCCTCGCGTAGAGCAACTGTCAACAGCAGTCACTATCTTCTTAGAAGTAGCGTATAATTTAGCCACACTGACATTTTCCAGGGAGTAGAATAGCTCTTCATACACCAATAAATTATAGCTAGTTAATAAACACGAGTAAAAGACTACTGAGTGTCACTGGTGAAGGCGAGTTATAATTCTCCATCAATGACGTGTTGACATTAATTGGCACTAGAACAGCCTAGCATAACTTCGTCTTCTGCTCTTTTTCCAGGTGACTGACAATGGCGTCATAACTGTTCTGTCATTATTGCTAGAGGCGGCGGCGGCGGCGGCGTCGATCAGGGGAAGTTCATCTCTTATAATTATCACTTCTGGACAGACTTGTAGGAATATCAACAAATACATAATCTTGAGACTCTTTTTGGCTATCTTTTTCATAATGATTCAAAGCTTCATCATCTAGATCAGCTATTTTATTTATGAATTTTGATGCAACGGGCTAACGGCCGAACAGACGTCTGGTAAAGAGGACACAATATTTCTTTGTTCCAGTTTTAAGTGACGCCAAGCTCTTCACCATGGATGGATCTGATTGTTACTCAGAAGAAGCCGTTTCAATGACTGATTCGCTATTAGGTGATAGTTTCTCATGAATGAACTCTCGTTTGCCTTCGGTGAACTCCGACGCTATACCACAGTCTCCCTTGAGGATCCACTTGGTGGTGAGAAGGCCGTCCATGCCTACGGGCCCACGGGCGTGAATACGGGCGGTACTGATGCCAACTTCAGCCCCGAGGCCCAGACGGTATCCATCAGCAAACCTGGAGGACACGTTTTGGAACACGCACGCTGAGTCCACACTACTGAGGAACTGATCAGCAGTTTGTTGGTTCTCGGTAACGATGACGTCAGTGTGAGAGGAGCCATAGCGGTGGATGTGCTTGATGGCCTCACCCATGTCCTTCACCACTTCGATGATGCATTCCAGGTCGCTGAACTCCACCCTGATGAAGAAGATTTTGTTTAAATGTTACATCTGCCTATGTTAACCTTATTTTTTACCTAAGACTGCCATTAGTGGTATATTTAGAAACTAAAAAGGGTATCGATTACTGGAGTTTTTGATATCTCCGAATGTAAGCAACCGAAGTAGCAATTACAATCAAAGCAACACAATACTTTAGAATAATGGACAATTGTGAAATAAGTTACCTTAAAGATCAAGAAGATTCTGGGTGAACAATCGTGTCTCGTTAAAAAAGTATCTCAATAGTATTAGAATTAAATATATTAATCTACATTTACAATTACAAAACCATTGAGATTTATACGTTATGTGATTCAAACATTCAGATTACGAAAAAGAAGTCAATGATCACGTGAAATAGATTTTAAATTATTTTAATGTTCATCGAAGTTTATCACAAAATGAGATATGAAGCTTACTTGAAGGATGTAGCTGTAGGAGGGCCGAAGGTGAGCATACTAGAGAGCTTGGGTCCGGCGTTGATCTTGACATTTTCTCGCTGAAGCGTTTTGCACACATTGGCGAAGTAATTGGTGTTGTGGAATACCTCCTCGTGCACCAACAATGTCTCCATGGCGTTGCAAGCAGACGGGTAATCACATTTAGAATCACGTACTGCAATAAACATTCAATATAAAATTAAGTAAAAAAATTAAATATACTGTATAGACATTTTAAGACAATATATGTACTGTAATTTGACAACTAACAAATGTTACAATATCGATACATGGGCTCATATTTTGGAATTCATCCATCATTTGCACAGCACTGTACTGTATGTTGCAACAACGAACACATTAGTTAAATGTCTAGTCAACCTACATGTAGGTAAAACTCACCTAACTTAACAGCTTTCTCCAGGTCAGCGTCTTTGTCGACGTATACGTGACAGATACCCTCAGCGTGACCCAGCACGGGGATGGACTTGGACTGCTCCTGTATGGTGCGCACCAAGGCAGAAGACCCTCGTGGAATCACCAAGTCGATATCGCCCTCCAGCTGAAGCAGGTCAGAAATATCATCGCGTTTTGTAACCAAGGAAATTGCACCAGGAGCACCAATCGTGGTCAGTGCCTCCTTCACCAGGTCCATCAATATTTGGTTGCTATAGCAAGCTTCTTTGCCGCCCTTCAGTAGTAACCCGTTTCCTGTCGCTATGGCTAGAGCAGCCACCTGTGGTAGACAGTCTGGACGAGATTCAAATATAACCAAAAGAACTCCAATGGGTACTGTTATCTGTCGAAGTTCTATCCCCTGGGAGATCAAGGTCCTGGAGAGGGTGCGACCCACGATGTCTTTAGAATCAGCAGCAATCTGCCGAAGTCCATTTGCCAAGTTGTTGAGTTTTGAAGGTGTAAGTCGTAAACGTGAGATGAGGGAGGAGGAGAGTTCAGTCTTGGACGCTTCGTCGAGGTCCCTCTGGTTAGCCACTAAGATATCCGGCTGACGAGTCTCAAGAAGGTCGGCTAACGTGAGAATAGCATCAGCACGATCACTGGGGGGGAGACTCTGGAGGATACGACTGCCTTGTCTTGCATTCTTGGTCAACACCTCCACTTCCAGCCCGTTTTCGTTGTTCGTCGTGAAGAATGTCCCGATCTTACGACCATGCACAATGCCCTTGATTGCGCCCTGTGCCAGCCCATTGCATATGACGACGGACGTTCCTCGCTCAAGTGCCCAGCTGGCAGCCTTAACTTTAGAATCCATACCACCTGTCCCAACTAATGATTTCTCGCCAAACTCTAAGGTGTTGATCATTTCAGGAGAGAAACTGTCAATCAGGCGAGCTCCCTCAGTGCTGGGCGGCTTGTTGTAGATGCCATCGACATCAGTCATGAGGATAAGAAGATCCGTTTCCACTTCGGATGCCAAACGAGCAGCGAGAGAATCGTTGTCACTGATGTCCAGCTTCTTGCTAATTTTTTCATCCTGTATCTGGGGAGGTGGCGTGACGGCGTCGTTGGTGTTGATAATGGGCAGGATGTTAAGAGAGATTAACTCGTTGATGGTGGAAGTGAGGTTCCGACGAGTCTCGTTGTTGTAGAAGTCAGGTTTGGTGATGAGGATCTGGGCCACCCTCACACCGTACTGGGCGAACATGGCCTCATACAGCGACATGAGCCCAGACTGACCCACGGCTGCTGACGCTCGCGGTGCCAACATATTCCTCACCTCCCCCTGGAAGACATAAACACACCTTTAGCACCGAACATCAATCTTACCCATCCACGAATCTTAAGCTCTGCAATTTCTCAACCAAAAACAACAACAGCTACCCAACTGGATACTTGTCTTTTTGGTTATCAGTGCACTTATAATCCAGTATCATGATGAATGGAATGGAAGAGATGCACCAAGCCTCACAAAGAACAACAATAAATGAGAGCATAATTCTGATATGTTTAACTAATATGGCTTTATTTAAGACAAGTGTGTTGTGGAATATTACCCCTCTGAGACTATCCCTGCCGGAGAGCGTTTCACGCATGCTGAGGGACATGAGCAACTCCTGGGCCATCTTCTGGGCCCCGAAGGCCACGGCCCCGGAGGTTACCATCATCAGCTCGCGGCCCTCGTTCTGCAGCTCGGCACACTGGCAACAATAACTCAAGTTAGTACACTGAAATGGCATATCATTCTATCCCCCAAAGTAACATAAACTGTTACTAAAATAACCACTTGGGGAATATTTTTACAGTATATCATCATTATATTTGTACCAATAATTTTGTTTCCTTACTTATAAAATGACAGGGAAAATGAACTCACCTGCTCGACGATGGATGCCAAGCGGCCGAGAGCGAGGCCACAGCCATCCTGTCGGGTGACGACGGCCGAGCCCAGCTTGACGACGATGCGGCGAGCGTGTTTGAGCTGGTCCCGGTGCTGGAAGGCTGCCCGTCCAACACCTGCCCTGGAGATGGACCGACTGTCCATGTGCAGTCGTTTGAACAAATTCTGGAAGGGATGTGCCATAGAGTTTTGTTAAAATCTAGTTAATGTACGATAGTGTCATTCATTTATGATCAACTGGACAAAAAATCTATCCTGTGAGTTCTTAGGAATCTGCTACTTCTCACTCGCAAACAATATGCAAAATGTGACACAATGTGACATGGTGATAACATACTGCAGCAGGTACTGACCGTGGTGTTGTTGTAGTGACGTATGTGGTTCATCTGGGAGGGGTTGCCGGTCATCAGCTTGTTGAAGCCAATCAGGCCATGAGAACGGGCCTGGTTTGCGCCGAAGAGGGAGACACGAAGTGAAGCGCCTTTGACTCCATTATTAGTGTACCAGGGGGTAGTGACCGGGCGAGGGAAGGTTTGGGGCTTCACCATGAGTTTGGTAGCCTGCAGGGTGAGGCGGGTGCGGTGACCCAACACTTTATGGAACGGCACCATTATGGCACAAAATAAATTTTCTTACGAAAAAATAATCTGCACTGACAGAATTCACACCTACAAGATGTAATAATAAGCCCAGCTTCGTCTGGAGTGATGGTGAGGTCAAGCTGCCTCGCTATATATATGCTGTCGAGGTTGGTGCCTCGCTGCCGATAACGGCCACTGCAGAGAAAGTTAATGGTGGGAGAGTATCGTACCTCAACTCGAAGAGCAGCGTCGTTTGGATCAAGTGGTAGTAATGTACTTGGGTCTGGCGACTTTCTGGTATACCATCACTTAGACTAATAGCCCCAAAAAATTGTCAACTTGTCGATAAACATAATTATCTCTCTCAGTCCTCCGTCTTAACCTGACGTCACAGGGGTGAGGTCGCCAACGACCAGAGGCACTCACTAGGGTCACCAAGACAGGGGTCGACACAGTACCCATATGAGGAACGAGCGGTGACTGCCACAGGAACGTACGCCAAGAGCTGAGCTGTGGCAGGTTGTGGTGGCGACTGCTCCTACCACCTGTATATATGCTAGCTGATCACCACGAACCCAGCACACTATGGAATATTCCCTTGTCTGACTCACTGACCCCCCCCCCTTACATGCCCCCTCGACTCCACCGCCACCCACACTACAGGAACACTGACCCTAATCTTTATTTTTCAAACAATATCATTATTTTTATCACCATCAATATCACACTTTATCGTTTGGTTTATTTCTTTCGTTATATATATATTTAGATATTTGAAACAAGACGGACCAAATACAGAGATCAGCGTCCCAAAACAGAAAAGAGTTGTGGAGACAAGCGACATCCTGCAAGAACCTCACGGCGGGCACACAAAAAACTCTGAAGTTACACACACACACACCGAGGTCCTGTTGTTAAGCGGATTCCGCCGCCCATCAGCTGGTGTTAAGCGGATTTCGCCGCCCATCAGCTGGTGTTAAGCGAATTCCGCCGCCCATCAGCTGGTGTTTGCGGATTCCGCCTCCCATCAGCTGGTGTTAAGCGGATTCCGCCGCCCATCAGCTGGTGTTAAGCGGATTTCGCCGCCCATCAGCTGGTGTTAAGCGAATTCCGCCGCCCATCAGCTGGTGTTAAGCGAATTCCGCCGCCCATCAGCTGGTGTTAAGCGGATTCCGCCGCCCATCAGCTGGTGTTAAGCGAATTCCGCCGCCCATCAGCTGGTGTTTGCGGATTCCGCCGCCCATCAGCTGGTGTTAAGCGGATTCCGCCGCCCATCAACTGGTGTTAAGCGGATTCCGCTGCCCACCAGCTGGTGGACGCCACGTGTATTTTTACTTAAAATAACAAAAGTATAACAATGTGAATTTCAACGAATGGAAAAATTATGAATGGCATACATCACGTGACACAAACACAGCACTGACCTATACCTTTATCTCTACCTGTAACTGAACCTATACCTGTGACTGAACATGTAACCTTACCTGTACTGGTAACGAGGGAATATTTTACCCCCCTTCCCTCCCCTCGGCACCTGTGTTCATTCTAGACAACAAAATCCTCATCACGAGCTATACCCCCCCATGACATTATTCCATTACCAACATTGAGAGGGAAATTATTACTTGCCTATAAAGGAACTGCGGTAGGATATGTTATTCCCGAGAACAATGACGTCGGGAGTGTGTTAACAATAAATAACAGAATAACTACTAAATAATTTTCCATGACAGTGTACACAGTATTGACACTGGTGAAAGTAGAAGATAATACCATTCACAACAAACTACCATGTCATTCTTAACAAACATATGACGTCATACATAATATAATGACGTCATGTATAATAAATACTTCATTCATAATACAATAAAATACTGCATTGTCAGCCATACCAGTAATATCCTCCATAAGAGTAGCCGTCGTAGTAACAGTTACCTTTCTATGGCAATACTGTACTCCACAATCTATTAGCAATATTACATTACCAATATCTTATCACCGAGATACAAGATGAACAGAGTAACGACATTTACTTCAGAATAATACGATACAAGAATAATTAAGACTTGTTATGAATGAAGTATTACGTGTGCTCAGTACGTGGTAAATATCTGACGCAATGATCAATAAGTTAAACGATGAGAGTAAATGATTGTATTGTACGAGGGAAATAAGACGACACCACGGAAGAGCCTCCATATAAACTCCAGGTGAGATTGAAAGTGGAGGAGGAAGGCGACCACTGGTAACACTCGTCCTCAGGTGCTGGAGGTCAAACGGAGTGGAATTGAGGACGAAGCGAAGGAGGGGTGAAATCTGGTAGGGAAGGTATAGATAAGAGGCTACAAGGAGGAGAGAACAGGGATTACAGGGAGGGTAGAACTGGAGAGAAAGTAAGAGCAAGCGGAGGGAGGGAACTGACTGGGAGGGTGTTGAGTCACGCCATCTTGTCACAGTCCCGGGGCGTGATCACCTGTCCAAGGTTCATAAGTCGTAGCCGCACGAGTAGGATTACAACACTTACTCCACGGTAAAAGGTTTGTCCCTCAATATTGGCAATACCTATGTGCCTCCCTCCACCTCTACTGTACCTGTCCCACCACACCATATCACCTCCACCCCCACTGTACTTTGCCACGCCTCGTACATTGGCAACTTTGTAAACTTTGTGGTCAACCGACTCTCACACCCTCTCACTACATCCTCACTTGCCCTATGACCTCCTACAGGTCCCCAGCCGTTACCAATACCTCTCCCCCCCCCACCCCACACACTCATCATTCTGTCACTTTATGTAACTTGCTGACAAAACCCATGACCCTTCAGGCTTCCACGCCCTTAATGCATCAGTCATAAAGGCAAGCATGAACTCCGCATGCTTCCCAGTTGGGCACTGTAAACGCTTCTGCGCTTCACCTTGCACAGGATGTAAGGGGGTGTCCAATAAACTAGCCCCCTCCGGGGCAATCTGTACCTCTTCCCCCCCTGACCAGATATCCCTCCTCCTAGAGACAGGCACTTGACATTATTAGGGACCTGCCACGCTTTGCCATAAACAGATAAATTGTACCGGGAACTTTCCCCCCACACACTCATCATTCTGTCACTTTATGTAACTTGCTGACAAAACCCATGAGCCTTCAGGCTTTTACGCCCTTAATGCATGAGTCATGCATGAACTACGCATGCTTCCCAGATGGGCGCTGTAAACGCTTCTGTGCTTCACCTTGCACAGGATGTAAGGGGGGTGCCCAATAAGTGCACTAGAGGTGTAGGTCAGCACCTGGCCGGAGTAAAGTCTAGTTCTTTTATTACAGTATTCACATATTATTCACATCTAATACAAGGACTCCAATCTTTAATCTGAAAATTAACATCTGAGATAACAGAGGCCAAGAGAACTACAATATTTGTTGTGTTATCAGTAAGAAAGCCGGCTCGTCCCCAAAAGGTTATCGCAGTAAACAGTTCGCACGATAACGGTGATTACAGTGGTAATCTTATAAAAGCCGCAGAGTATCAGTACATCAGGCAGGGGCTGAGTGATAAGAGCAGGGGAGGGCTTGTGGAGGAGGTAGAGTGGTGGAGTTTGAGGTAATAATAATAATAATAACTATCATCCTTATAAAAGTAACTATATATAAGAAAAAAAACAATAGTTAAAAACTGAAAATAAACAAAACAAACGTGAAAGGTAGTGGTGATTAAACATGTAAGTTGCCAGCAAAAGTGCTCCCACAGCCCTGCTACAAAGGGCTGTGGGAGGACTTTTGCAGGCAACTGTACTTTCGGCGCAAATTTAGCGCAAAAAAAGGAGAATGTAACATGTATGAAAATCACATAACCCCCTTAACATAATCTTCCCTCATTCCCAGCACGGTGTACCAAAACAGTTTGTTGTGTTACTTCCCCGCCTGTGTAATAATGCGAATAAATTCATAGCAATTTCACAATAAAATAATAATAAAGAAACAAGTTTGAGATATAATTATTAGTTATACAATATGACTTTATATATTTCTTGTATGATGGAGAAACATTTCATGCTCACAGTTAATCTGAGTTTATTCATAATCATGAATACATTCCTAGCGCATTTTTAGAAGCACATATGTAAACACAATACATACACAGAAATATATTCTTACATTAACTTTCATTTATATACAGATTTTTGGCCCAGTAATACACTGATGAAACGTTTAAAACTCATCTCTGACAACCACTGTGGTTGAACCACACTTATAAATACAAAGACCTCAACACACTCCCAGTACCACAGTAGAAATTTAGAGATAAATATGAATATCATTCTTATTTATGCCTCTAAAACATATGTATGAATACTTTTTAAACCAATTTTTATAAATACTTTACAATTCCTCCGTAATAGTTCTCATTAAAAAATGCTCATATGAGCAATAGGGGTTGGGTGTAAATGAGACTGCCCAGTATGGGCCAATAGGCCCGCTGCAGTTTCCTCCATTCTTATGTTCTTATAAACATGGCTACTTTCTCGCTGAAATAATTACATAAAAATATATTAAATAAAAAAAAAGTAAAGAAATCAGTAGCACAATATACAACTGCAATTGTGTTAAGGTCACTAACATGGCCTACCCATTCTCCCAACTCAATAATATAAATAATGGCCATAATTTTGGTTTAATCCAGAATTAGAGTACTTCTGGAAGCAAGAAAGTATAAGTTATTTAATAATCTTTGTCATCAATTTTACCTGCTAGCTGAGATTTTGTTAATTTCTAGCAGCTGTACAAGACTGCTTCTACCTGCTAATAATCACGATATATAGAACCTTCCCGTTTACTGTCTTGTTGTCATGGTCGGTCGACGTAAGCATCATGTAGGAGACGCTGACCCCCATCTAAGGAGTGTCCTGTACCTGGCAACCAGTGTGCCCAAGAAGACTGAATCACTGGCAATGTTCCAACTGACGCTGCCGACGAATTTCTGTTATTATCCTAAATTTTTTTTTTTTAAGAATTACTGAAATTTTTAACAGACGCTGACAATTACCATCGGCGAGCGTTATTCATCACCCATCCCTTGTATTTCCTTGAGTGTTCGATTTGGATATAAATTTCATAACATTATAAAAAGTTAACACATACTGTAAACGTTGGAAGCATCAGAGGTAAACTAAAAGGGTGAAAAGAAAATAGTAACCAGTAACGAATGAGGAACTTGAGTTTAAAAGACGAAGAAGTATAACTCTATTCAGATAGAGTGAAGAAAACAAATTAAGCGAGATAGTAGTGACTAGTAACGATGTTAGTAAGCAAATAGACAAACTAAAGCCTAATAAGTCACCTGGTCCCGATGAGATATTTGCCAGAGTATTAAAGGAATGTAAGGAAGAGCTTAGTATGCCCTTAGCGAAGTTGTTTAACATGTCCTTAAAAACAGGTGTAGTACCAGAATCCTGGAGGATAGCGAATGTAATACCGATTTTCAAGAAGGGGGATAGATCACTATCCTCTAACTACCGTCCAATCAGTCTAACATCAATAGTAGGCAAA